CGTCATTGCATTGCTTGAGTGCTTATTTCTTGGTGCAGAGATTTGTAGCAATAAGCTCCTCTTTTTGCAGAATCTCACTCCACAAAGAGGCACTACGGTAAACCCCTAAAACGTACGTCTACCCCTGTCCGCTTGCATTTGTGTTCTAGAATAGCACAAGCTTAAGGTAATTTATTTAGCAAGCCTGATGAGTTAGTTTAGTTGTCATTATGTTACGGGCCATGTCAAAGGCAAAGATAACAGATGGGAATGTAAAATGCAAAATTTAGAATGCGCGAGGCTTCCATGCAGCTAAAACTTAAGCCATCAATGTCTTACAGTAGAGAGGACACAGTAGGCTGCGATGTGCATGATGTGCTCCTTTTTTAGTGGAAAGGGACTGCGCGAAAATAACCATAAAGGTCGTCGGTGGAGGGAAAAAGTAGAATTTTTCTACGTAGTAAGTTTAAAACACTTCACACTACCCGTTATTTTTGTCAACAACTGTAAAGTCGCTTTACAAAAACCTGTTTGAAGTGGTAGAAGATAAAAATGAAATTCATTTATGAGGTACATTCCGGTACCTAATTCATTGTGTCTACTCGGATCTCAAGTGGAATTCAACTGCAAAGTTATAACAAGAAGTCATGAGTCGCTGCGCATGTCAGGCACAGTCATTTGTCATTTACTAACCAACGCTGAACGGTGTCAGAGATACCTACTAGGTTGTTTGTGTTCAGGTGTCTAAGGTTGTTGGTTTGAAGCTAACCATGGCAAATTTGCTTTCGTTTTAGAAGCAGCGGCCCACTTCCAGATATCCACTTCGTAAAAGCTATGACCTATAAGCCTTCTTCTTTATTTTTTCCCTAAATCACGCAACTTTCAGGGACCTTCAAGCCAAATAACATTGCTCCTTTTGCTTGTGGAATAAATTGTGGATGTTAAGGATGAAGTTTTCTACCCTCCTTTTCCTTGTTCCATTCACAAGGAAAGGATGATTAAATGACAGCTTTGGGACTCAGTAGGTTAGACGAAAATGTGCGTCCAAAAGTCTTGCAGTAATATTGTATGAAGTTAGATCTACGAACATTCGCCTAGGACTACCTTTTATGATAACAGAATAAGGTTTTCAGTCTTTATGGCAAAAACTCACCGTCGCAATACACAATTTTCTCCAACAGAACATAGGTTTGTTACACATTCTACCGCTATTAAACTCTTCGTCCCTAGAAGTCGGCAGACTTGTCTTAGCCACCTCTGAATGAACTGTCTACTGTTCACGTGGCTCTCGGATGCCAAAGGTAGGCGAAAGCATCATTTAACGAAATATTATGAGGGAAGTAAGAAAGATGAGGATGAGGCAGTATCTCTTTCTCCAGTAAGTTTTGCAGTTTGAGATGGAAGAGCTTGAGGTGTATCGAAAGCACACGAACGCCACCGACAGACTGACTAGCCGTGGCTCCTTTTGTGTAGGGCTTTCTTTCATCTGTGTGAGTTTTCAGTCAAGTCTAGAAGGCAAATCTCAGTAGTAATTGCTGTATGCTCTCCAACTGGTGGGAAATTTCCACCGCATACTATACACACTCAAGCACAGGGCTCTCTTAGAAGCATGGTTTGGGAATTGGAATCTTTGAGGGCAACTAACGAAATGTCTATTCGCCGTCCACCAGTTGGAATACAGAAATCGCTTCTTACCACATTTCAGTCAGTTAGCCTGTCATTCGGTTGTTCAATCAGTTATCAACCCGTCTACAACTTATAGCTGATTTTATTGAGCAAATAAGAAAAAAAGTAATTGACGATCCACTGTCATCTCTTAATAGAATCCAAGTGCCATGCAAATCTTACGAGAATTTTCTTCAGCTTCAGAACTGCAGAGGTAAACCCGGTTTGCAGTAAAAAGTACCAATTGTATCAGGTTCATCTGACACTATACGAATTTGGAAAAACCTGAAACAGCAAAAAAAAGTAGTTGAAAACAAGCATTTTGCGCAACCTTACAGGGTATAAAAATCGCTTCAATGACTTGTGTTAAAAGTTGCGGAGAGCTCCTCGGCCTTGTAAAGTTTGAAATCGTATAGTTAAAGTGTAAGATGCCTCTTTGTGAACACCTCACCAGGAATGGATAAAATTCTGTTTGTTTTAAGATGACCAAATGAGTTGATTAAATATGCAAAAAAAGCACAGAGAGGGCAAAAAGGCACTTAGTTTAAGGAATTGTTGATAGCCAGATTTCTTAAAAGTTTCAAATGCCTCAGCTATGAACCACTTTGTGTACGTAGATTTTAAAATTGATCCCTTGATGTAACTTCCTTCATTTAAAGAGCATAAGGAGTGGAAAGGGGGCATAAATCTGCATACAGTTCCAAAATATTCCTGTGAAAATTGTGATACGTTGCAACCGAGTTTGCGGCTTGGGAAATTTTACAGTCCCTTTGCTACTCGCTTATCGCCACACCTAGTTACGAGTTGGTGGTGTGGTGTATCTAGGGTTGATTTTGAAGCATCGAACCAACTACTGCCTAATTATTCTGCTGTCACACAATCTCTACTTCTTGTTCTTCTTCACATACACAAAAAAGTGTGCTCATCCATTTAACAGACTCAAAAATGACGAAACACTTTAATTTGGTCGAGATGGGCATCGTCTGAGAATAAGTTAATGCGAATCCCCAAGAGGATTGGAGTCAAAAAAGTGCAGAATGGGTTTAATAATTTATCTAGCAAGATAAATGCTTCAACTTGATTTTTAAATTATCGGAGGCACAGAAAAGTTGGATCAATGCCTTGTCTGTTTGTCTGAGTGTTTCACTGAAGTCAGTAGGTCACTGAAGTAATCAACATACCTTCTACTACGATTGCTTGCTAAACACCTTATTTATTAAACATTTTTGAACGAATTTCGACTAATTTACATATTCAAAAAGTATTTTAACTCGCCATGCACCAAACACGTGATTCTTTGTTTTTTTTTCTTCTGGCTTGTGACGTACCGTGCTACGTCTAGCTTGCCTGGATTCGCCTTCAAAATTCAGACTTCATGCTTCTTTGCGGTGTTCTTCCGTAGAGCCCGAGCACAAACCATCCACTCTGATTGGGAAAAGGGCAACCTACAATTTGCCGAACAAAGTGAAAGCAAAGTAATGTGAGAGATTAAATGACAATAAGCTTCTCCCCATGTTGAATACACTCAATCTTATTACGTCAAGTAAATGATAGTCAGGTAGATTGATTCTTTGGCGAGGCTTTGCATTACCTGGGTATGATGATTAGGCCCCACTGTTCAAGCATTTTAACTGCAAAGTTTTACGGTATTGTGGGGGTAAAAATCCCACTGTCCTTGTTCATTAGGATCTCGAAAGTGATATATAACAATGCGAATTGTAGGAGAAAGCTTTTCCGCGTATTTCAATGCCTGCTTTCGTGATTAGCTCTTCTTCTTCTTGATGAACGCGGAGCGTCGATTAGTGATGTCATGTGATAAGACCTTTTTTAATTTATTCACTTCACAGTCTTTTTTTTAGGATTGTGCAGCTCTGTCATACCCGAATCCCAATAGTGTGTTGGCCAATTTCGTAAACCGGTAATACGTAAACTCTCGATCGTCCCATTTTCTCTCCTAAACAAGGGTAGTTCCCACTTAAATATGTCTGATTGGGGCTCCTTAATAGCCCCACGAATTAGAAAGGCAAAGCAAAAGCCATTCGAATGTTGGGGAATTAGCTGATGGTTTCGAACGTTGGAAGCAAACTCTGCCACCTCAAAGAATAGACTTTAGTTTGAATTATTTGGAAAGAGAATGCTTTAATGACTTCCTGATCTACCCTTATCTGCACTCCTTTTTTGTAACAATAGTGTTAAATAGAGGTCAACAATGAAGTAAGACTATCTTTCTCGGAAACATTTTGTACGATTTTAAGTTTTTAACTTTCAAATTGCTCTCTTTGTTGGCAGCACTCACTTTTGCCATTTTGTATGTATTACGTAAAATGCTCATAAAAAAGTAGGAGAGGGCTTTCAGTAATAACTACAGTCTCACCAAAATCTCCCACATCTCGTTAATTGAGAAAATGTTCTGGTTTAATGAGATTTCGCATTATCAGAGCAATTAAGGCTCTGGCTTTCTCTCACAGTGCTTCTGCTGCTAGGAGGGGGAAGTGCAGGCCCCCCATTTTGGGGGGATTAATTAAAGGCACCAGTAGTTGTGAGACCCATTAGTAGAGCCAATGGTACCCCAACCCGATCATTACTTGCTACCATAACTGCATTAGTAATAATGAGATTTAAGCAGTGGTGTTTGCCAAAACCCAATTTCTGAAAGTGCCACAATGAAGGTCTTGCCTCCTCCTTCCTGCTATATACATCCATTCACACCCTTTCTCGCCTTCTTAGGCCGAAGAAAATTCACTTAATTAGCTATAAAAATTCCTTTGTTTTTCTCTAATTTACTAATTGCTATCTTGACGAACTCTCAAAACCACAATTTTAGTAAAAATGGGACTTTTTGAGGTGCCTATTTTCTTTATTTATACAAAATGTGCCATCTGATTGGTAACTGTCAAATTGTTAAGAAAATTTATGTGAAAGTCATCTCGTAATTTCGCACGCCTATATTAGCTGTGGGTAAGATATAAACGGGAGTAAATCCTTCATCCAGTAGCCGTGACAAGTGTACAGGCAATTGACTTCCATGCTTTGTAGGATGACAACGCACTGGGAAGTCGGTGTGGACAGTGACAAATGGCAAGGGCTCAGCAATCTTTACGAGCTAACAGAAGCCAAGCCCCGCGGCCCTTCCGCAGCCCTCACTCTCACTCTTACTCCCTCTCTCTCTTCATCATTGTAGTTAATCCAATTAACTGAATTCCGAGAATTAGGCATTCGAAGCCTAATATGCTATTGGATCGGGCTAATTTGCTGGAGCCGTGGTAGTCACACCATCAGAGGTCATTCCAAGTGCTTATTAAAAATACGGAGGGAGGCCTCAGCTCGGTTAGTCAGAGTGAAGACGACCTACCAGCATGACGATGAAGCCGTGTGAGTTCTAACATTATGAATGGAAACAGTTTTTCTCCACTACTTAAGTAAACCCTCTCCACTCCGCATTGTACGGTGTGTTTTAGGCAAAGCACGCAGGCCGGAGCCGAGGAAACCCTCGAATGGATGTGAGTTTAGTAATGCGGAAATATTTTTTGGGTATTTTCTTATCGAATCATTTGACACCTTCTTCTTGACCCTTAATTTTTCCAGCACATGGAGATTTTCAATTTGCATTTGGAAGCAGGTTGAATTTAAACTCCAGATCTATTGTTCTGTTAGCTTTACAAATTTTCCCACCTCCTTTACCCATCGCAAAGCACTGCTTTTGCGTGAGAAAAGGCTCCATTTTGTTGGGTGGAGCTTTTGCGCTTCTCTCGAGATACCTGGCAATCCAAATTGGTCGTGTCAAACCTCCTCTATCACTGATTTTTTTTCCGTGTGCCAGAACCACCCTTGCCACTCAAGAGCATGTATTTTTGACACTTTACAGATGATATCGATAGATGGGTTGAAGAAAATGGAAGCCGTGAGTCTAAACTCCTTTTGCAAATAACACCACCTTGTGGAAGGACAAAGGCAAGACTTAGCCCTACCCCAATTTAACTAAAGCCTTACAAGTTCACAGCATTAATAAAGGGAATAGACCTAACCATTCACTCGACTGATCTCTGCTGCGCCATGCTGCCAACGCTAACCCTAACCAACAACTTCAGCGCCGTATCAACGCACACGTCAGATAGAACTTTAAGCAGCGAACGCTCCGCTAGATGAGGTGGTGTTTCAGGGTGTTTGAAAGGGAAACAGGTTCTTTGGATACATAACTTCGGTACTTCACCCCATTTTAATTCGTCACTTTTGTCAAGCCTTCGGTCACTCCGCGTCTGTTGCCGAATTTAACATTGAAGATTTATACCGAACCCTGAAACCACGACTAGCAATGCATTTCTGTGGAAGGCCACTAGAGGATTATTTACCACCTACATTGTAACCCTTGGGTCAGTGCAATTGCCTGTTGGGGCGTTGCACAAACTTATGATTTCCAGGTCAGGTGGACAATCACTTCTGTCAAGCCTTCGTGACAGTGGTCAAGCGCAGGCCACAAACAACCTGTACCGTGAACTTTACGCTTGCACTACTCTTGCTCCCTTAATTGTGTTGCTTTTGTGCAACGCCTTTTGAATAAGTGAGACCTTTTGGAATTTTTTTGGGGTTCTGCTAATTTAGCTTGTACCTACGAGATTTTACTGCGTGGTGGGTGCCGAAACTGCAGCACCTTACAAAATCTTGTCAAAACAACTTATGTCAACTGTCAATTTTGTTAGTTAAAAGCTGCTTTATGTGCAATAACTTTTTGAATTTACTTTTTTAACAAGTGCACTTCTCATTGTGAATGATTGTTAAGATGAACACCTTGAGTTATTGGCAGTATTTTCGTCACTGGTACGATAGTAAAATTTTCCTCACTTCCACGTGCTGCATTAAATGAATCCTTTCTTTTAGGGTGGCTCAAAAGGCTGATAAAATTTTTCTCTTGATTTCATTTGGTTTAACTTTAACTCTTCTTTAAAATATATTAGGCCATCATCATGGTCCCGACACCGTCCATCGAATGAGACGACATGATTACTCACCTTCTTCGAGTTCTTCAAGGCAAAACGGTTCGTCAAGGCTTTATTTAACTAAAAATTTTCCCCAAACAATATCACTAGCAGCTTTTCGCATCAAATATATCTTTTAAAACAAAGGATTCCCTCTTGTCTCGCCTGGTTGATGATCATGTTTCCACTGGCCACTTCTTGTCAATTATTTGGTGGATTAACTTATGCTTGGATGGTATATGTACAGTGTCGTCTATCGTGTGTAACTTAAAGTTTTCGTTAAGAAAGGATTATACTCTGATTCCTTTTATTTCCTTTTTTGCAATTTTAAGGGTTTTCTTGTCTTTGCCATTGCTTAGACCAGCATTCTATTAGAGGACATTGGATGAACCGTTAAGCAAACTCGATGCAAAAAAAGCATTAAGGAAGACACACAAAAGCGAATCTAAAATCAAGTCGTTTATATAATTGATTCAATAAAGACTGACTAATGGCATTAACAGTTAGTTTACTTTTGCTTGCCAGGTTTCCGAAACATTAAACACAAGGCACATTGCCCTCTCTATCGCTCCTCGTCGTCTTCATCATCGTCGTCAACTTCATCCAGTTCGTCTTCTGACCCAGGTTCTGCGCAAACCTCCTCAATTGACGCTATTACATAACTCAAACAAGCATAAGTAACCACCGCATTGTTTTATTCAGATTTCGTTCAAATGTTGAAACAGAGGCGTGAAGCACGAAACAAGTCTCGGCCTAGACGTGCTGCGTCTGCTTCTCCGGTTCCGCCGAAAGGTTGGTCTTTGCCACAACCTACGCAAAACACACATCTGTGAAAGTTTTTAAAAGCCGCATTGGCATCATCGTAGGTTGGAGTTGAGCTGGATTGCTTTGTGTCGGAATCATAAATTTTAATTCCCTTTCTCTTCACTTCGTCGACTGAGTTATAATTCGACTTTTTACTTCCTAGATCAAAATAATGTGATTAAGAGAAGACAACCCCTTAACTGCAATGACAAATTTCGCTCTCTTTGTGATAATTTAAAAGTAAACAGCGATAAGTAATGATTCAAACTAACGGATTCGACTTCCATTTAACTGCCATTAGTAGCACGATTAATGCATCAAATGGATTTGTTTTTATTATCGTCGCAAGAAGCCTTTAACTGTATTTAACTCCACCACTTCGAAAAAGGAGGGCGTCACCATCCGCATCATCATCATTGCAAAATGAATCGTTCATCAAGCTCATCGTCCTCGAGTTCGGAGTCCGTTTCACCTCGACAAAGTAATTTATCCGCCTTAGTTAAAAGCGTTATAACAAATGTGATTTAGTGCCTAATTTTTTTCATTTTTCTGCTTCTCCTCCACCGAGATTATTTTCAAGGCACTGAAAACTGATACTTTGGCTTCTAGATCGCTGTGCTGGGCGAAAGGGCAGCAAACCGAATCGCAATCCCATGCCACGTATGCCTTAAAACATTGATTGTTTGTTTCGTTTTTTTCTTTGGAAATTTGCAAACTTTGTCAAAGCATTCCACTGATAAGACAGCATTCAGCGCTTTGGCATTGGAAATGAAGTTGAATCGTCGGACTACTAAGTTGTCAATTGTTGTCGATCCCTGTAGCACCGCCACCTAATAAGCCCGTAAAGGCCAATAGACGTCGACCGCCTTCGTCTTCTTCATCAAGCTCCAGCTCCGGTACGATACGGGTTTGAGATACTTACTTGAGATTCACTTTCACCTGGCTTTGGGAGAGTTTGACAGTAGTGTTAATCAGTAGTAAATTAAACAAGTCTTCTCCTTCTATCCAGCCTTCATTTCCATGGAAATGTTCTCGTCTCTAACGCGAAAGGATTTTTTTTGCATTGAATTTGGCTTGCTTGTCTAAAACAGTACAAAAACCATGACGTAAAGTAAGCATCATGGAGCGCTATTTGCAGACACAGTTACTACACTGTTTATGTCTTTTGGGTCGCTAATTTAGTTTGATTTTTGAAGGTCCTGTCCCTACGTGACGAGTTCTTGTGCTAATTCTCTCTGTAGACTCAGACCGTCGCCACAAGCATATTAAGAAGGTCACCAAAAACAAGTCTCAAACTCAGCCTTACATGAAAGGTAAATTGAATTCACCTCGGAGAACTGAACGATGAGGGTCTTACACGCATTTATAATCAATGGTTTTACCTCCCATACTATATTTACCTTTCCTTTTTGGGAAGCAAACACGTCTTTCGGCGCCTAGATTTAACCACCCCGCTATAGTATTAAGTTTTTCTTACCCTTTAGAGAAGTCTTCCAAGTCCCACTCAAGGGGGAAGCAGTAAAGCTGGAAATTTCCTTATCAAAGCAATGAAATTTATTCAAAAACCTGGTCTACCCTTGCCGTTGCTTATATGGAAATTCTAGTAATAAATAATCCAGTTGGTTGTGTACCCCTGTCTTTTTTTGATTTTAAAACAACAAATGGACTAATAAAGAGTGAATTATACACCGTATTTAAACAAACAACGTTCCAAGTTAAGTAAGTAATTCATGCTAATTCTTAAGCTTTACACGTTTGTGAATCTTCAAAATTGTTAAGTTGGAAGATGATAATGTGCCGTACTATTTTAATCTAGTGTAAGCATTGGAAGGATACAAAAAATCGGTCATAGCTGGAATATTTCAGTTCATAAAAGGTCTATTTACTAATAAAAAATTTTTTCCTTCAAGACGATGCAAACCCAATGAAATGAGGAATTCGCCTGTACTGCTCTTTTGAATCTAAGTGTGAGCTTTAATTTGGCCAGGAAGCGTAACGATTAGGGGCTGTGAGGCTAAACTTCATACAAGAAAAAATTTTTCTTTGTCGTCAGAATAAATATAAATCAATCGTTTCCAGATTTAGATAATGTTTCTGTCTCTAATGTTAATTTCTAGATTCAGTTGTTTCTATTTACCCGAATAAAATCTGATGGTACGTAGATGGCATTTTGCGTTCATTAATCTTTTAGTATTGTGTTTAAAAGTTGTTCATTCTAATTTAAAGCCATTCTTGAGTGAAAGACGTCAATTATTTATCTCCCTTGTTGTGGTAACAACGTTGATCCGAAGGTCGTGCAGCATAAAGCGATAACATTTTAAAAATTGATCCATACAGATAAGGAGGTTAGGTGTTTGCACTACTTATATCTCTATCAAAGATACCACACAGAATCTTGTTTGTGTAGGTAGGTTCTTGTAATAAAACCGCTGCACAGTTTTGACCATGTGTATATGTCACTAATGCAGTCGTAATGGAAACTCCTGCCTCAAGTCTCTAAACATAGGGGGAGGGAAGCCTTTCGTTAATTTGCCATTAATCAACCGAGGATATTTCACCTTCTGATATAACTGCAAGAGATTGGCACTTGTTTCGGTCACAATCTTTGTGTCACAGTGGCTTTCCTTGCAAGTCTCATTGGTTAGCAACTCCCCAGCCCTTCTCTACAGAGAGCTGATCAATGCAAAAGGCAGATCGGACTCCTTGGTTTTTCGAAATTTGGAACAATTAAGCCTCTAGTTTGAATGATACGCTCTGCGATTTGGCGATATGACTGCACCTTAAGAGCTCTGAGTAAAACCAAGCTCAAAGTAAAGTCGGATTTGTCATCTTAATTAAGTCAATTAGCGAATAACCTGTTAATCATTGCCCTCAAGAAGTAAAAGTTCTGCCCTATCCTAAAGTGCATCCACTTTGAAGCAATTGTTACCCCTCATTCTTCTTTCACAATAAACTTTCTTCATAAACATTGTTTTAGAGAACAAAAGGACACTGCCACCCTTTGTTTTAATGCACAAATGATTGAATATGCTTCATCTCTACTACTTAATAAAATTTGCATATACGCATTAGACTTTGCACTTCATTGAACGCTAGATTGATATTGATGGCATGCATACCTTTTCATTTGTACTGTTCTCATCGATCACAGTGGCGCTATTTCATAAAATTGTAAATCAAATCACAAAAATCTCGTAAGATAAGATCCCATGACTTCGTGAAAGTCGTAGTGATAATTTCGCTTTGGAAAATCCGCCCAAAAACCTCACCCTCGCAAATACGTACTACTCCTTCGTGAAAACCGCGAAAACAGTTCTCTTAGAAACGGAGTCGATTCAAGGATTCATCTAGTCTCCTCAAGTTTTAACGAATGAATGATTTATGACTGGTAAAACACCATATTCAATATGCCAATTGGATTGCCCGCGTTGTAACAAACAATTTGGAGAACAGACTTTCCAAAAGGTTTAGTCACTCTCTTGTAGATACTTGTACTAATTTGCTTGCAACCTTCTTACTCTCTTATCACACTAAAATCACTAATTAAATCGCACCGCACTTTAAGTGCCCCTTCATTAGCATGACTGTGTCAATCGGCGTAGCCGCTTGATGCATTACACGAGGTGATCTCCAACGCAATGTCCTTCATTGGCAAGCCAGTAATTTATTTGTCCCACAAAAATCCTGCAATCGGTTGAAAATGGTTTATAAAGCCAAATCGTAATCGGGGTTTAAAAAAACACTATCGGTAGCCGACCGGCACACGCGGTCAATCATAGACACGGTGATTGGGCTGTCAAAGAAGTTGATCAGGGCAAGTAAATTTACTCTAACTCCGGCAACTGATGGCTTTTCGTTTACACCGAGGAGCGCACATTACTTGTGATATCTCTCGAATTTACTCCAGGTTTCTCACATTCGGAGCGGTTGATTTACTGCTCCATCATATTTTTTCGGTGCCAAAAGTTAACTCAAATAAAATGAGAGGAGTTTTATCAGAAGATTTATTCGGAAAGGATAGAATGACCCAAAATTGTCTGTATTGGCACAAACGTAAGCAGAGTTAAGGTGGTTTATTCCAGAACTTGAAAATGACTGAATGTTTTCAGCCTGAAATGCATGAAAGGGCATAAAATTATGACTGCTTCCATAGAAGGCAAAATGGTTATTTCCGCATCAACTCCAAAAGCGTTAAATAGCGTTAGCTTCCACAGATTTGGCATGATTTTCATGCTTCCACCAACGACACCCTAGTATAACAAAAACCACTTTGGTCGCTTCAAAGGAGAGCACGGTATTCATCAAACGCAAGGTCAATTTGTCTGTAATTCTATTGGTGGGGGAGATAGCCAAAAAATTGGTACACCGCAAATACGTGTGCTGTTAGACTGCACATTATCGCCTTCCGTGACTCCGGTAAACATCAGTGAATGCGTTGTTTCCGTGGCACGGAGGTTAGTAAGGCGCAACACAAAAAACTCACGAAAATAAAGCGCGTTAGTAGGAAGGCCGATTTCCCATACGAATTCTATCAGCTGCATTTAAAAGGGTGAACGATGCTAATTCTCACTTTTTTTTTATTAATTGGTTTCATGGAGAACTGCAAAAAACACTACTTACGCTCGTAAATCGCATGGTCGGGCGGAGCGACAAATGTGCCTAAAGCAAAAAGACAATCCCATGGACCGAGTGAGCAGTTTGTTGGCCAAGTGATAATTATAGCTTCAGTGAATGATTCCGTAGACAGATTTCAAAATCTGATGCGTCGAGATTGCGGGAGCGAAGAAAACACTACAGATTTGCTTAGCAAATCAACCTTATAGAATTCAGTATGCTCTTCTTGTAGAAGTGATGAAAGGAAATGTTCAAATTCAACGACCACATTTGAAACATAAATCTGCCCCAGAAATAAAAGAAAAATTGATGTTGGAAGTGGATATATTTCCACCATCCTTTGTCGCCGCAGATCTGTGGAGGCACATCGTCAGCTCCACCAACAAACCATGCGTTTTGAACCAGGCGTAAGTTTTGTTTTCTGCTCCCCTCGATTCCGTGCTCTCCCGGTGATACATTATAAACAGTTTATCTGCGGATCTTGTCGAACTTTACCTTATTTAAGGGCATTTTAATTATGCAATTTAGAAAGTGCCCAAAGAAAAGCAAAAACAAGGCGAATGAGGCACTGCTAACTCTCGGTTACGGTGTTCGGCGACCAGCGCAATTAATATTTAGCAACATACACACAGGTTGGTAGTCAATGCGAAATGGGGAAAGTTGAGGTGTTAGGGCAGCGCCAGAGCCGCATCCGCTGCTCCGCTCTGGTCTGCATCGTCACTCACTGGCGGGATATAGGAGAAGATCGGGTTTAGGATACACTAAGGTGAAGAAGTGAAGAAACAAACACTTAAACTCTTTCCTCATTACGGGCGCACACACGCACACACTCCGCAAACCATTTCAGTCATTAAAAATTCAGACACAGGAAGGAGGGATCCCGCCTTCTTGTACGTATGCAAATGTTAAAACGGTAATTTTCAGGCAATTTGGCTTCTATGAGGAGTAGCTTTAGGCACGCATTGAAGGAATGCTTAGTATGAGGAACGAGCGAGAGAGAAAGAGAGAGGCAGTGGTCAAACGCTTCCACGCACAGCGAGTTAAGTAAAACAGAGAGTCATTTCTTTACCATTGTCATCGGAATACACGAGATTATGCTTCCGAATCACGTCTTCCTCGGTAAAAAATCCATCTATTTAAAATTATAATTTGACTTTAATAAACCACACTGACAAACAACTCTGCATGTCAAAAGGAAATAGCTTGTAAGTCTACTGGCGCGGGCTCTTCCCTTCACATGGATGCGATTAGTGTAGATGATGCATGCATTAACTATTTCATCTCTAACGTTAAAACAAGGCGCATTCAACCAATCCAAGTTGAGAAATTAAATGAGATCTTCTGCGACACTATTTCTTAACTTGACTCTATTTTTATAATTCTTAACGTTTTAAGAGCTCTCCACCAAGACACACTATGTCCGCCTGAAAAATACCGAGGTTGAAACGCTTTATTTTTTTTAAAAAGCAAAAACGGGATTCGTGAATGCTTTTCCAATTTGTTAATTGCCAGCAGTTTAATGCCGCTAGGAATAGGCGGAAATAATTCCCTATTTTTAATTTTCAAGAAGCCGTTCCAAATGTGGAGGAACTATATCGCTCGATTGTGAAGTGTTGAAGCAGTTGGAGTTTGAAATTCGTACAGAAGGCGCAGCTTTAAGCCAGTTGGAGACGATGTGTTGATCTTTAAGTAGAAGGTCTTGCAAACGAACAATTTTCACATTCCAGTGATTCCTTCAATTATGATTTCCGATTTATTAATGATCAACCTGGCACTGATTCAACGTCACAAAGTGAGTGAATAATGTGAGTAGCGCAGTTGCGTTGTAAACCACACCTAAGTGACAACTGCACTGCCTGTAGATTTGACAAAGTAGATAAAGCCCCAAGCTGCTAAACATTCGCAAAAAAGAAAGTTAAAATATAAGCAAGTGGATAACTAGTCACTTACTTCCAGGTGGCCCAGGTTGAATTTCAGTGTTCACTGGAAAAGTGAAAGACAAAGAACTTCATGTACTGGTCTGTGAATCACTCTCGACTGTTGATTTCATCTCGCATCTCTTTCTTACCTCCACGAAATCGGCCATTTATGTACGCTAAAATGAAAAAAGCACTACCTTGAGGACGACTTTAACCCCAAAAAGGGCGAGAATTTTGTAAACGGCGGAATTTTCTGGCTTCTAAGGTCTGTTATCCTAATTTACATTTATGTATCTTTTGGAGGTGGAAGGGTAGCTTACAAGACGAGTGTTCTGTGCATTGACCTGAAATTTTAAAACAACTTGACATTTTCATGCGGTACTCTGAGTGGTCTCTAGAAATTCATTTGGTCTGCCACCAGACATCTCTTTTGAGTTGGAAGAAAGCTATTAAAAACACCAGTTCCTCATATTCAACACTGCGCAGGACTTATAAAGAGCCGAATATCTCCTGATTCTTTCGTCTTACTTCAAAGCTTAATTTGATGCGATGTGGGGTTTACCACCCTTATGCTGTGCTGTTATATTGGACCGCAGTCTAGTCACCCAAACATTGGTGAAATTCTTGTTCGTTTTGCATTTAAGTTGATTTTTAGATATTATTACAATAATAGGTAGACTTTCAGGCGTTTAAACTGCCTCATCGGTAATAAACCTACATGGCATTTGTGCACGAGGTGTTTTGCATCGATGGTACCGGCCTGCAAAAGTGGAATGATCAGTGATAACTCGAAATTACAGTTGTTTCTTACAAGGGTTTCCGAAATTCACTGTTATGTTGTAAGTTTTATAGCGCTTCTTAAAATGTTATAGATTCCCTTTCCCCCAAAATTGTAATCACCAATAGAATGAGTAGAAAGTCGAGTAGCATTGATAAGTCAAAACATCAGGTGAATGATCCCTTTAAAACCTTCCGAAAAGAGTTAAAATGGACTCGTTATGTTAAATAATTATTTAAAAATATGCAGGGCGATATAAAAAAGCGTAGCTGATTGACTGAGCAGAGGGAGCAAAGCACATTCGTCAAAGCCTGGGACATGGCACGGCTACATGGTGATTTTTAACGTAAATAAGGTCAGTTAAATGAAGAGCTGCTCCAGACAGCAGAAAGTTATCCATTATATTGGCATGGTTTAAAGAGACAAGCGCGCTGCCCTGTTGTCATGACGAGTACGTGATAGGTGTAACCGAGCTCATTCGCGTTACAGTCTGAGCAAAGCGGGGTACACGGGGCTAGAAAACATACGTTGAGCTGGCTTCTTCTGTGATTTCCCTGGGGTGCATGATGGTGAGGCTTTATTTCAACAAAAAAAGTAAGCTGAACAGGTGTTTGACGAGCAAGGGTTCTGCATCTCAAAACCTGTGGGGCTATTATAGGGATGAGAAACTTAAGCATAGACTTGTCGGGATTAGGGAATACACTTTGAATGCCGCAGTTTTTTAAGTTTATTAGTAAAAAATTGTCTCGTATTTAAAATACTTGATCCCATTGAATAATATCTACCAACAAATTTGTACTCCAAATAGCGAGAACAATCATAATACCGATTTTGAATAGACTAAGTTCAACAGCATGCAACTTACCCAGGCTTTGAGCTGCGAGTACCTTCTTTTCTCGAATATCTACACATTGAAATAGGCATTAAAGAGGGAAGAATGATGTATTATTTCCATTGAATTGTAATGAACGACTTACTGTCTACCGGTCTATGGCATACGGAGCAACGATTTCCTACATGAATAATTCAAATATTAATATGTGGTAATTTTCCCCTTTAAATTAGGCTAAGCATTTAGATTCGATCTATATAGTCAGCATTCAATCCCTATTGCGCCTACCATCTAGTTAGGGTGCTTAACAAGTCGACATGGTTGGTCAAACATTTTGTTCTACATGCATGGATGCTCAGGCAGTTGTTTCCTGACGTCAGTTCAAGCGTTAAAATATTAGGCCTCAACTCTGATGTACTACACATAGAATTGTGATATTGCATTACTTCTCCTATTCCGCTATCAAGTAATATGATAATTTGTCTTCAAATGTGTTTTCTCAGTTTCAAAATCAATGTGATATTTTTCCTTTTATCAGTAAAAATTACTCACTTGACTTTCCTTTCGATGACCTTTCATCTAAAAAGGCAATAGTGGCGTGCACAACATTTCTAATATTCAAGCAAACAATTATTAGGGGTTACACTTTAAAAAAGGTTCTTTTGTACTAGTAATTATTACCCAGAATGTTGTTTAAGCCGTCCAGGGAATGCAAGCATTCGAAAAGTCCTGGGATTTATCCCTAAGTCGAACTGGATAGTTAACGAGTATAAATTACAAGTAGCAACGCATTTTAGACTGGTGGTAATGTGGTACATAAAGTCGCCTTAAGACCATATTTCCATCAATCAGTACACCTGAGCCACGATACTGTTGACTCTCCTGGGTTTTTGCATAAATTACAGCGCCATCTAGCTGAAATCCCTTAGTGTATTGAGTAAAATTGGATGTTTTGGCACCTTTTCTTCGGGGTGAAACACATTCCCGGTTTCTGCTTCGGTCCGGAGCTGAAAGGCACATTGAGTTCACCTCGTCAAGACCATATCTTATAAAAGTAAGGTAGGCTGTAATAGTAGAAAGTGCTTTAATTTGCGCAACTGCTTAGGAATTCTCAGTTTTTCCTAAGAGAAAATTTTTTTGTAAGTCAGATGCTGCTACCTCACGGGAACTCTGACTTACAGCAAGTTGATGATGACAACGACGGGGCCGAAAATACGGAGGAATCGCAATCGCATTCTAAGGGGCGAAATATTTTGCCATTTTAATAATAAGTTTAGGCAATAAAGTTACCCAGTCCTTGTAAATTGCACTTACTCTCTCTTCGGCCTCGACTCCTTGATTTATCATTCTCTAGAATACAAGGGCATTTAAAATTTGGATAAGTTTAATTTAGGAAATAGCTTTCACACTTTTTAAAAAATGATGAGAAGTTGTTAATTCGTGCATTATTAGGTCGTAGGAATTACACTGATTTTTAAGTTTAATGAAGTTGCTATTCATATTCATGCGTTGGTATGTGATATTACGCGTCTGCTTCAGGTAACAATCTATGAAAAAAAGTATGGAACAAGAGTAACAGAATCCTAACATTATCCATTTTTGAATGGGTGACAGCGTTGGAAATACTTACGCTTTTTCGAGCTTCTTGCCTTTGAGCCTTAAAATATTTAAAAAATTGAGATTGTTTAGAAACTTGAGTGATTATTTGTACTTGTTTTTTTCATCTGTGCCTGAAGTGTGTTGAGACGCAGTGCTTGCTCATTGTGACAATCTCTGTCAATTCCACGCATGAAGTCAGCTATCGCAACTGCAATGGGCATTCACCACTACAGACTACCACAGACTTACGAGTGACTTTTTTCGTCAGTATCACCCATACAAGTCTTAAATTTGGCTATCGCCACACCGTCACACCCTGCTAGAACCCATCCATCCACCTTTGAAAGTGACACTACTGACGTAGTTGGGAATTTACTTTTACACGCACTGAAAGTCTGTATGACTACGTTTGGTGTCGCCTAAATGAACGCTTGAAGTAGCTGAAGTAACTTTTCACCAAAATGTAGCAGCAATATGCAATTTTGGCCGCTATACTCTAAGGAATTTGCTATTTCAGGGCAGTATTATGTACTCCCAAATTGAAATTTAACAATTTTTAGAATCAACTATACTGTCACAAGGAGTTAGAGTGGCTGAAATCTAGTGTTTTGCAACACAAATCGGTTTCTGAAATCTACCACTAATGACATTGAGGTGAAAGGAGTCGGGGCGTTGTCTGGGTGCTAAGACTCATGACAACACAGCTTTTCTAAGCACCCAACTTACTTTTTACCTTAATCACTAAGTAGGTGAAGATAAAATTTTATAAGAGCTAATCACCTCTATTGCAATCATTACTCGTGAAGGTGAAGACAAGAATTCTACGATGTGGAATTATGTGAGTAGTTTGGTTGAGGAGAATGCGAGACAAGAGATTGCATGGACATGGCGTAAATAGCTTGTCTTCTGCATCACGCAGATCAAAACCACCAACTTCGACTTTTGATCAGTGAAATAGAGCCTAATTAGATGATTAAGGTTTAGTGTTCACTGTTTGCATTCATCGGTTACTATTACCAGATCATTTTAGTTCAAGGTTTAGCTTATCAACGGCATTTATTGCTGTGTCCACGTGGGTGTCTAGACCTACGTTGGCGAGCGTCGGTGTAATCGTAACTTGAGCTACAACATCCCGAAGACGAGGTGCTGGAGTAATCGTTTATGGTTCCACCACAACTACTGCAGTGGCAAGTGCTGCTGCTGCTACCGGAGCAGCTGGACGAGTCACTGTCAGAGTCCAGACTCAGGTAATCTGGCTCATCTCCTGTAAAGGAAATAATCCCATTAATACTACATAACAATACCTATGTCACATATACTTGAAGCCATAAATTTTCTCACTTAAGTTCGATTACCATAATTAGGATGAAGTAAAACAGGTTAGAAATAGACAAAATAAAATAAAGAAATAGATATTGCACTAGGCTAGAAAAAAAATTTTAGACCCCGGTGATTGACAGAGCCCTGGGAGAAAAGACGTAAACGCACCCTTCCCATTTCAGCAATAAAAAGAGATTTGTAAATTATCTCGCCAAAAGTTTTTCTTTTTGCTTCAAAATGATTACACGAGACATATTAATGTGGCTATTTGATGAAGGCGGTAGCACTACTTTGACCTATTCGCCCCATATTAAGTAGCGGTGATTTTTGCCACTAAGAAAATCTAGCCTCCCTTGTGTGTCCAAAGTTGACCAACTCTAAAGTACTATGAATGTATTTAACTTCTTAATGATAATGCTTATAATCTAGTCTCTCAAAATGCTTCCACTTTGGTGATTAGAGCTGATGACACGAGGTTGCGTGACTCAAAAAGGTTTAACTAGAAGTGTTCATTTTACTTAGCTTCATCAGACTCTTTTTTTCCCATAAAGCTATTGTTTATCTACTTGTCTCAAATGAAGTTAAATTCGTAGGGTCTATCTATGCATAAAATCGTTTGTCATCTTACTTAGTGATGGCCATCCTTGGTTCCGCTTCTGCATTCCAGGGCGGTACTGCATCCCCGTTTCTATAGCACCAAAAAAAACGAGCACAAGGATTAGCTGGAGTAATTTCACAATGTTTAAGAAAGCGTCAGTAGTTTGGCGCGGTGCAAGACTAGTCTCCTAGCCTAACCCGCGATGATCGATGTCATGTGCGGAAAAAAACGACATTGCAGAGATTTTACTTATTTGATTAACAGGCATTTTGGTGACGTTGACTGCAATTATGAAGTGTGTTTGCCTTCGCATACGAAGAAAACACAATTAGGCGGGAAATGTAACAATACTCTTGCGTTGGTCATAAAGTTTTAACTAATGTTGCATCCGCTTTTGGGGGTGTATGCGTTTTTACATTCTCGCTCCTTTCCCTAACGCAAGACAAGGTCTCGAATCAAGCCTACGAGGTATGCGAAAAGTGACCCTTTGGTGTACCTTTGAGTAAACCAGGTACTTCACTCAGTTTTGCATACCTGGCGCTTTTTTAAGAGGATGCTCAAGGTGGGTAACATGGTAAGCCGATCGGCACTTAAAGTGCAGTATTACACTCTCTCACCGTCTACCATAAATCTTAAGCCTGATTCTCGATTTCAAGTACAGTCTTTGGAGAGATGTGCACACAATATGATGTTTAAAGCGTTTTGGCGCCTTGAGAACCTTGATTTTAACAATCTTAAAGTGCTACTTTTCTTATTTTTAAAATTGACAATTAACAATTAACTCACGATTTTTCGACCCAGGGACCGGCATATAAACCATTCCTAAATACAAAACAGTGAAGTTTTCAGCATTTCATGATTCCGATTTGAGTATTTCGTAAAGTATATTACTTATCCGAGTTTTTGCTTAAAGTGTCAAATTAAGGAGGGGGAATGAGGTGTTACAAGATTCCCACTTCTTTTATGGGTTTTATGTCAACTGAGTGAACCAATGGGTAGTGGAGAAGGTTTCGAACTGAAGGGACTCGGTGTAACTCACGCTGCGGGTACATCGGTGTCCGTGTATGCGCCGACGCTGACCATTGTTTGGATGATGGGCCTAGAGTAGCAACATATGTGGAACATGAGTCGTGGATATCGTAGACTGATGGGTCAGTAAAAGTGGACTGTCACTAACTGATGGTTAGAGTCCAATTTAATGTTGCCTAAAAATATCCAGCTTTGAAGCAAATTTACTGCAACCTATATCACATTAGGAACGAATGACCGTCAACAAATGACAACCGAATGCTGGGCTATGTCTGTACCAACCCTGTTTAAAGTAAGCGGCCTTTCTAAATCCAAATTCTGCTATTCATTTGAAGGCCTAATGGAAGAGGAAAGCGAACTTACTGCATGGTTGTGCAGTCTGCTCAGCCGCGACTTTAGCTGCAAGCTCCCGATTTCTGTTATAGTCTGAAAATTCCTTGGGTGTTAAATTTATACTCCTCTAGTAGACTATCTTTTGCAACTAGAGAAATGCCTCGGTAGTTAAAGCAATGTAAACATTTAAATTAATAGCTCTTTCGAAATTGTGAAATCTAGCTTCAAGTTATTACCCTAGTCTCAACTTATTGTCGTTTAAAAATTGTAAGCTTTCTGCTAAATGAAAGGCATTACGGAAATCAAGAACGCGGGTAAGGAAGTGCCTTTCTTTACACAAGAAAGTAGGGGAAGAGGACAAGGGTATTTGGAGATCCTAAGCGTATTCACTGAACTCACTGTTCACAACATAGTTCCCGTAATCGTCTCTATATTCATCCCCCATGCTTTCGAGGAGCCGCTCACTTGAATAGTGATGGCGTCTACCATCTGTCCTTAATCGAAGGAGGCATCATTATGAGGTGCCTTGCGTGCCTACCTTCTGATTGGTCGAGGTGGGAGGGTTACTCTTCTTGTAATTAGCACCGCGGCTCCAAATGTGCGTGTGAGCACACGCAGGCCTCTGACAAAAAGTTTGACGCGGCCCTCCTACTGATCCTATTGCCGAATGCGGTTATTCGCAGTTCACGCAATTCCACCTTTGCATGTGTGTGTGTGAGCGTCTACGAAAATGCCAAAATGATTTTAAACTTAAATAAGCTACTTTTGGCATGTACCATGCACCACTTTAATGGTCATTTCCTCATTCTATAAACAAGTATTCGTTCTTCATCGTCCACTGCATTATGACAATTAAGTTGTGTGCTGCTACTGATTCGTTAACTACGGTGTTAATTTGCTCTAAGTTATAACTGCTAAGAACATTTATTAAAAAAATTCCAAACGCAAAAAAAAAACGTTAAAGAACCAATACAATTTAGGCGACCTAACCTATTAGCT